CGAGTGTGGTTTCAGATTTTAATAAACAAGATTTTTATTTCAATTCAACGTTCACGTATTCAAATGAATACACGTGTATCTCTTACTTTGCACACTATTTTGTATCTCTATGTAGAGCTTATATTTATATACTATGGCAATCTGAACTATTGTTTTGGTTATCAACTATGCCTCTTGTTCACCCTACTAAAAAGAGCAATAATCGAATTAACGACTCTTTTGCCGACGGAAATGATTTCACTTGGTAAAACTTCCAGGCCATATCCTTTACTGTGTGCGGTTGCGTTGTCAAGTGTTGGGTACAGGTATACGAAAGGTACATGATGTTTGTTCTTCACCCAATAAACGGAGCTTCCATTTGCATCTTAAACATATGAAATAAAAAAATTGCTATATTTTTCAGTATATTATTATTATTTATTGTATACTCAAAGAACCAAATACGACATTTGTTACACAAACCTTTCATAAGTTTTTCGATACTTCCAACTTGAAATTCAGTGCCATATTCTTTTGAAAGACTTTTTACAGCAACCAAAGCAGCAAAATGCTATACAATAAAATTAAAATTAATTTTTTTTTCAAATGAACATGATTGTGTGAAAATATCCAAGCATTAGAAAAAGAATTCAATAATAAATTGTTGAAAAATAGTGTTTAAAACTTAAAACAATTTTATCTCAGTCTGTACATTAGAAAAAAATACCTGTTCGTTATTTCTTTTTAAAATTTCTTTTTGATCTTGTATGAGATAATCGTATGGATACATTAGCTTCTTACTGTGACTATTGAAACTTATATAAGCAAGAAGATCGTGTGCAATAGTATCAATATATTCTGATAATGACTTTGTTTCAACTTCGGAAAATGCAAAGTCTCCAGCATAATATGGACTACATGGATCATTGAACTTCTCTGATTTTCCTGCAAAAATAATCAAAACTATTTAGTTTAGTGTATAGCTTAAACTGAACGATATTTTTATATAAACAGATAATAAAAATTTAGAAAATGCTGTTTCTACGATGCCTTTGAGCTCCATACTGTGTGACTTGAATTTATTTTTTCATTGGTAAGAATTAAAATTTAAAAAACTTTATGTAAATAAAATTTATTTAATCAATTCAACAAAAACAATACCTCCCCATTGAACGTTCCAATTGCGATTAAGGTTCACTCCATCACAATCATTTCGTTGACAAGAATATCCAGGGCATAGGTGCTTTGTTTGTTTTGATCTATTTTTTACCCACCATCGATATGAAATTAATGGCTAAAAACAACATTAATCTTGGTTTTTTAATTATTCTAAAAACATTCTGATAATAAATTATGATACTTACACTTTTATGCGTATAAACATAACCATCCGGATTGACACTAGGGAATATATACCACTCGTATGATGCAGCGAGTTGGCGAATGTCTGGTCTTTCGCTCGTCAAGAGCTCATTTATTAGGTACGTGGATGTTGAATGCGATAGCCATTCTCGGGCATGGATTCCTCCCTCGATGAAAACGGCCTTTTTATTTTCACTAAATTTTAGATNATATACCACTCGTATGATGCAGCGAGTTGGCGAATGTCTGGTCTTTCGCTCGTCAAGAGCTCATTTATTAGGTACGTGGATGTTGAATGCGATAGCCATTCTCGGGCATGGATTCCTCCCTCGATGAAAACGGCCTTTTTATTTTCACTAAATTTTAGATGGACGCCTTTGATGAGACGGTTTTCCGTGGAAACACCAGCAACGATAACTTGTACATTTTTAGGGAATTTTTTTTGCAATCCGTCCAACCAATCATAAATTTCGTCCAGAGTATGGAATCTCAACCAACCAAATTTGCTCTGCTTTTGAAATAATAAATTGTAGAATTGCGGAAAAAATTTACCTCATGTAAGTGAGTATTGTTAATTATTCTTGTTGTTAATATTATAGAGTTCTTTGACTAGAATCCCTTATTTTATTTAGCTTATAAAATAATAAATATCAGTGGAACAATATTTATTTTTATTTTGATTATTGAAATCTTCTAAAAATCTGAAAAATAATTAAAAGTAGTTTTTCATACGCACATTTCCGTGTTGACTAATATTGGTCCTCGGATTAATTTGATACACTTGTGCAGAATTGTCACTTGAGCTATTTACTACTCCTGTGAAGATAACTATGAGACACAGATATAAAAAGCCCGTTGACGTCATGTTCACTCAACTAGAATAAAAAATTATCAAAATGACATAAGAGTAAAATTTATACATAGTTTATTCTCATATAGTTTGTCAAATGTGTGAGTACTTTCATATTTTATAATATATTTTACAAACATACTAAATTTTTGTGATTAGTCGCTTTATACTACAACCTTTTTTTATTTTAAAATAATTATTGAGCAAGAGTTTCACAGTTTTTAACGTTTGTACGTTGTCATCGCCAATTTAAAGAGCTATCACATAAGATGATATCTTCTGAAATGACTTCTTTTTCAGCTTTTTTAAAAAACTTGAAAACAAAGCAAAATTAAGGTACATTGAAAGGATACTTTTTTTGAAGAGGATCGAATTTTCCATGTTAATACCTTTTCCTAAATGTTACTCACTAATAATAAAAAATAAACTGTTTTCAAAGCGTATTTTTATGGAAAATTTGATTCTTTGTGAAAAAGTATCATTGCAAAATATATTAATTCTTTATTTTCGAGAAATTGAAAAAAAAAAAAAAAAAAAAAACGAAACGAAAAAAATGTGGTTTTAGATCTTCCTTAAAAAATTCATCTATGAAATCAAGAATACTTTGTGATTTTAACATATTTAGGTGCTAAACTGTAAAACTAGACTATAAAATTACTTGAAAAAAACTTCTCCTTTTATTTTTTTAAATGCCTTTATAGATAATCAAATTAAATAAGCTCAATTAGGATCATTTTTTGTAAAATTAAACATGTGTTACACATATGTAAAATGCACAACACGTTTTTTCCTTATCGCAAAATTGATTTTTTACGATATCACAACTTTCTATTTATTTTAATAAAAACAATGCTTGGCCTTATCTTAGATTTTTAATAACTGTATTGTACTCAAGTTCTTAAAAGATCTTCATGATTCAAAATATCTTATTTTTCATTTCTATTATCACTCAAGTTTCAATAACTCATCTCGAATCCTGTTCTACATGTATATATAGGCCGATCAATAATGGTAAGAGTTGCTTATTTAAACTATAATGCAGTCCACCTTTCTATATACTAAACATAAACTATCACATTTTATCGACCTGATACTAAAATTAAAATCTTCCATACCAATCGCTTACGTTGTAAAGTATTCACCAAAGATTCGACTTATACAAAAGACTGCATGATAGCATACTATCTCTAAATTCTTTTTTAAACTACGTAATCTCAAAAATTTACA